TTTAGAAAAGTCAAAGGTCATTTTGAAATTATGGCTTTATGTTTGGGTTATTTATTCATATATCCTCCATATAATTGCTAGAAATGTGTTTAATTATCCAATTTTTTATTTTAATTCACATTTTGATGTCACATTTTTTGTTTTATTTTAGAGGTACCTTATTCATTTGCCAAAGTAGGTTCATGATCATGATGAACTTTGCGACACTTTTGAATTGAACACACATTAAATGTCGAGTTTAATACAATAAGTTAGAGATGACAATTAGAACTGAATTTAATAATACGATTTCTTTATTGTTTTTTTTACGTCAATTTAATTAATATTTTGTTTATCGTTGATTGGAATTGTATGCTCGTATAATTAAATATAAAAATATGACTAAATTTTGAGGCATTAGAGTGAGCCCTAGCATTTTTTTTATGAAAAGAAATTTAAATGTAGAAAACATGAGGGGTCCGGTACCCAGTGGCCGCCTCCCTCCGCTCATGTCTAAAACTATACACTTGTTTCATTTTTTTTTTATCAAGGTCCATCATTTACATAATTTTCATAATCGAGTCATGTACTTGAACTTAGATCTTTACCAGAAAACACAAGTAAAGGTTAAACCGCTACATAGAACAAGTTCATCCGATTAAATTTTGGCTTTTAACACAGTAATACCACTTTTACTGTATGGGTATTTATGCAAATAATAATCATAATTATTTCTCTTCAAATTTATTGTAAGCAATGGCTTCATCTATTGGGTAGCATGTTTAGTTTGAGGCAGTGTACTAAATTTGGCAAGACTCCTATCATTACAATAATCGAGTTAACTTCGATTTCTTCACTTGTTATTGTTCAATATTATCACGAATCATCCTATATATCACGTTCACGGTCAAATTTCTACAAAGCAAGAAAATGGGGGAAATGGTGATTTTGAAGCAAGAGTCTGAGGCTCTGATACCACTTGTTGCATAGAAGTCGCCAAATTGAGTTAATGCATTTCACACTTGTCTTATTTTCCTTGTGTGCAGGAGATTCCGCTTCCTTGTGGAAAATTGAGAAGTGAAAACAGCATAATCTTGCAACTGGGTTTTCTTGTGCTAAGGTAATTCATATGGCGTTCATCTCTCTTGTTTTGATAGACATTTTTGAATGCTTTTGATCTTGGTGTTGACATTGATTTTGCTATAAGCAATATGCAAATGCACGTTACTAAGCCCCCGTTTGGCCCCGTTATTTGTCATTATTTGAGATTATAATTTTTGGAATGGTGTTTTTTTTTTAAAAAAAATGTGTGATTGAAAAAGAAGAAATTGTTTTTGATTTACGTGTAATATTATTTTATTGGATAATGTGTGGTTGTTAAGAAAAAAAAAATTGATTATAATTTTAATGGAAGCCAACGTGCAAATGCAAGTTGCTAAAACATTAACGGCACGCAAGTTGCTAAAACATTAACGGCAACTTGCAAATGCGCGTTGTTAAAATGTTAATGGCAACATGCAAATGAATGTTGCTAAAATATCAACGGCAATGCACTTGGCAATCTTTAACAACATGCATTATCTGTTGTCATATTCATCTACTCTATGACAACATCGAAAGTCGGAACATACAGGTGCACATTGTAAAATACATATGATCACATATTCTGCCAGTAGCAAAAGGCTATCTTTCTTGTAGTGACGTATGCTTAAAAACCTAATGCTGCCACCATCCTGAAGTGCTTTAGAACAAGTTGGAGGTGCCTAGTGACTTGGCCTAAATGGAGTGATCCAAATCATCAACCCAAATATGCAAATTATCAAGTATTTGGGATGCTGATTCACTTGCAGTTGCAGATGGCGTAATTCAAGAGATAAAGCAACACAAAATGGAAAAAGCATAATTCTTCATTCTTCTGCTTGAAGAGATATCCGAGTTCTCAACAGCAGAACAATATTCTTCACATGACATTTTCTGTACAGAATAATCTTGAGGATATATTTTTGCATGTCGTATAACAGTGCACTTTTTGGATAACTTCATATTTGGACGAATAAAATTATTGCGTTGAAGGTTATTTTGTGCACAGTATTGTACAAGACGACAAACAAGATTTTAGCCTTTTTCCTTCCTTAAAATTATGTTGCACCTAGATAAAAGAATGCTTTAGAAGGTTAATATCATCCTCGGAATTTTAATTTTTGTAGAGGTTTTGGATTGTGTTTTGACATGATTATCTCTTGACAAGGCTCGTTGTGAACTTCGCTTGCGAGTTAGTGTAGTACTCACCCCTTATTCAAAGTGGACTTTTGCACTGCTATTAATTGTTTCTTCACTTGCGTGTTCGGTTTAGTCGAGGTATGTCACGATACAGACTGAGAGTTGAATGATTTAGAAAGTTGGAATACATCGTTGTAAATAATTGATTATATAAAATAATCAATTATTTTTTATCTTGAATGAAATTCTTATATTCTCAATTAAGGGAATTGGATTCCTAACTCCACCATGCAGGTTCAGTCTTACCTTCCATAGATACTACTGTCAACAATCTTAAGGAATTTGAAACCAGAAATCTGGTGCGAATTTATAAGGATGTGCCTTAATGAGGAATCTGAAAATTCTACCACATTTTTATCTCTGATTTTGAACAGAGAATCAGCTTGTCCTGAGCATATTGGTTTCTTAACAATAAGTTGAACAATAAGAACAAGAATAATGCTATTTGTACATCACCATTTACAAATTTTGATTGAGGTGGCAAAAAAGAAAGTGGTGGAGTTTTATTTTTTTTGTTGGTTGGTACAATTTATTATTATTATTATTATTATTTTTTGATACTCAGGTGTCTCAACTTTAGCAGACTAAATCCTGAACCTCCAAGATCCTTGCCCCTAGAACCCTGGATGAGGTAAATCGCGGGATATGCCTCAACTGGTTCCCAGGTTCCCCTCTCCAACTGTGCACTTCTATGCACAAGATTATTCTTCAAAGCGATTGCTCCATACCAAATAAATCTGGCCGCATGTTCCCACCAGGATTCGAACTCTCACCCTGCCGCTAGAAGCGAGCTATGTGCTGATTGTTAAGCTAGTTGAGCTGTGCCCCGGGAGGCTTGTTGGTTGGTAAAATTTTGACTCTGTCACATCATCTATTATTAAACAAAACTATAATTTGTTTTGTACATGCAGCACAACCGTAAGACCAATAGTAGACATGTTCGATACATTAAATTGGACAATACTTGATAGATACTATTATTTGGGGTGTTTCTGTCACAAATATGTCGGCAAAAGATGCAGTGCGCTTCGTCCTGATTAAGCTGAAAATGGGGCCCGCATTCGATGCTTTTGCCATCTTGATTTTGTAGCGAGTAAATCAATGGTCTTATTAGGGTAAATTCCAGAAGAGGTCTCTATCATTTCGTAAGTGTGGCACCTATATCTCCAACTTACTATTTATTGAAAACATTTATTTGAACGCCAAATGGTTATATGACTTCCGCGTGAACTAGAGATAAGTTGAAGCAACGGTACAAGTTTCATGGCTTTTGAATGTTCAAACTAACGTTTATCATTAGTAAGAAGAGACATGGGTGCCACTTTTTGAAAGATTGAGGATACGAGCGCCACATGTCGAAAGGTTAGAGACTGCTAGTGAAATTTACTGTTATATGATAAAGAATAGACAAATTTCCCGGCATTTTTCTTTGTTTCAATCATGGAGAACCAAGCACGTTAAATATGCTCAATGTTTATAGGTGTTTGAAATATTTAGTACGTTAAACTAAATTAATTAAGGCACTTCAATTAACGATTGGTAGTTAAAAGATGCAGCCGGAACCTCCCACATTAAACTGAAAATAGAGTATTCGTTCGATCCAAGATATTCTTGTCATCTTTTTACCGAGTGAATAGTGGCCGTTTTGATTTTAAAAAATTGACGAAGTTTTTCACTTTCATAAATTAAGCGCGTTGGACCTACTCAACGTTCTTTGCGTGTTTAAGGTTAAATCCTATTGTCCATTTGGCTTTTTAATTTTGGACATTAGGTAAAAATTGAGAGCTGTCAATATTAAAGACAACAAGCCTAGAAGATGTTAATATTTTATTTGCATTGATTAGAGCTTAAGTGGATAAATTTAGGATCAGATTTGTACACTTCTTTTTGGCAAAGATTTTAGGACAAACTTTTAATAAACAATTAAAAGTTAAAAAGGATAATGGGGGGCCATTGATTAGGGAAGAAAATAATAATTTAAGTGTCCTTTTCAGGTCTGTTTCTTATGGGAGAATTAACATTTTAATTTATATTATCATAAAGTCTTTAAAAGCCCCTCATATTAATTAGGACTTTGCTAGGGGATAGGGTTTGGTGACCAACGCCACATGGCTCCCCCCTACTGGAGGGGCGCCTATTCGATAATGGGGGGCCATTGATTAGGGAAGAAAATAATAATTTAAGTGTCCTTTTCAGGTCTGTTTCTTATGGGAGAATTAACATTTTAAATTATATTATCATAAAATCTTTAAAAGCCCCTCATATTAATTAGGACTTTGCTAGGGGACAGGGTTTGGGGCCAGGGTTTGGTGACTAACGCCACATGGCGCCCCCCTATTGGAGAGGCGCCTCTTCGAATAGGCACCCCTCCAATAGGGGGGAGCCATGTGGCGTTGGTCACCAAACCCTGGCCCCAAACCCTATCTGTTTAGCTTTTCCCTATTAATTATTGAAATGATAATTTAATTGTTTGATCCAAATTGATTGGTGGAGTGGGAAACACCATCTCATATGTTCATGGCTCACAATTTAGAGGAGGTAAAATATATGAAATTTTGCATCTAGATCTTAATGTTTTCATTTTATTTAGGTAAGATGATTGTTTATTTTCTATATCATGAACTATTCTATTATCTCACGTTTAAAATAGTTCATGAGAAAAGAGTTTAAACAAGCAAGTGAATTTAGAATTCTAATGGTTCCAAAGTTAAAAGTTCAAGTACTCAATCAAATAGTTGTAGATATAGATAGAACGGTATCCCTTTATGATTATGGTATGCACGGTATCCCTTTATGACTATGATATGCACGTATCAACTCGGGATCTTATCGAACTATTCTTTGACACTCTTTTTTTATGCGTCTTACTCCCTCCGTCCCATATATATAGGCTTGTTTCATTTTTCACACGGATTAAGAAATCTTATTTAATGTTATTGAAAAAACAATTTTTATCAAGAACTTTCCAAGTTTATCCCTATTTAATTTTCAACAACTAGAAGTAAATTATTGTTGGAATTAGTAATTAGGCAAATTAAATAAGGGTAAATTAGTAAAAGAACAAAACATAACATTCCCAATTAAGAAACAAGCCTATATATTTGGGACAAGAAAAAAAGGAAACCCAGCCTATATATATGGGACGGAGGGAGTAATACGCATAAAAAAAGAGTGTCAAAGAATAGTTCGATAAGATCCCGAGTTGATACGTGCATATCATAGTCATAAAGGGATACCGTGCATACCATAATCATAAAGGGATACCGTTCTATCTATATCTACAACTATTTGATTGAGTACTTGAACTTTTAACTTTGGAACCATTAGAATTCTAAATTCACTTGCTTGTTTAAACTCTTTTCTCATGAACTATTTTAAACGTGAGATAATAGAATAGTTCATGATATAGAAAATAAACAATCATCTTACCTAAATAAAATGAAAACATTAAGATCTAGATGCAAAATTTCATATATTTTACCTCCTCTAAATTGTGAGCCATGAACATATGAGATGGTGTTTCCCACTCCACCAATCAATTTGGATCAAACAATTAAATTATCATTTCAATAATTAATAGGGAAAAGCTAAACAGATAGGGTTTGGGGCCAGGGTTTGGTGACCAACGCCACATGGCTCCCCCCTATTGGAGGGGTGCCTATTCGAAGAGGCG